TGTGGTGTGGTGTGGTGTGGTGTGGTGTGTGTGTGTGTGTGTGCGTGTGCGTGTGCGTGCGCGCGCGCGCGCGCGCGTTTTTCTTTTATTACACAAACACAAACACACACACAAAGGTATATAGTGGAAAAGCAATTGGTGTGTTTAATCTATCGTCTCTTCCCTTCACTGTCAGCCTCCTCACCAATCGTAAACTGTCGATTGCCATTCCTACTCTCTCCGCATCGTTTCCGCCATAACGTATATACATCCCGTACGATTTATTGACTTAGGTACTAATATATACGTACACTTAGATATAGCACATGTAGGAACCGAGATCGACAACGAATGTCGCAACCTCTCAATGTTACTCTCAACGCACTCTGGAGTTCCGAGTAACGGCTGATACGAAGGAAGCGGAAGCGTTGCGATCCGTGTTCATCTCTGCTTGCTCCCTATGCTTCGACTTAATGACTGAAACGGATACTGACTAACGACTATGAAGATGAAAGTCGACGTAGAACGTTCACCTCACGTCGTCGCTCATTTGCTCACGGGCAATCTGATATTACGAATTATCATGTGTTATTGCGTCGCAAACTCACGTTTTACTCCGCATCTTGACTCCGTGCATTTACGCGGAACCTAATCAATTACCTGTCTTATTGATTCTTGGCTGTTCAAATTTCTCGCATATACGTTTAACTTGTACGTCCCGATCTAATTGGGAGACTGAAAGAGCACGTTGTTAATCAGTTTTAAGATCGAGGTGAGCGCGGTTTTCCGCAAACGTGGCATATATCTTTACGTTGGTCTCTTCTGGTTATAATTAAACAGCTTATCTTTAAACTCTTTTATATTCCAAAGGCTTCCTCAAAAAATTTCGTAACGCGTAAATTACATTATTTGTTTTTTTTTTATATACACGAAAATAATGATTTTGTTGAAATATTTAAAATTTTGGCTAGATACAGATCTGAAAATAATTTTATTGGACCTTTAAAGTAATTTAGGAAACTTAAACATAATAAGCAATGTTGCAAAAAATTTCTTTAGCAATCAACTTGAACGTCCTATATAATTATTTTGATAGTCCAGCAAAATTATTTTCTAATCTACATTTGACCAAATTTTTAAATACTTCAGCAAAACCGTACTTTCCGTGTAAACTGTTAAATATTAAAAGAGCAAGTAATCCGATTTTCCTTGAGCTAAATAACATTTTATTAATTAATTTTATTATTAATTTAACTTCCATGTGTATCGAAATATAAATCTATTTCTGTGTGATTAGTGCGTTTCAATGTAAATAATGCCTATATTAACGTATTTATTAAATAATAAATTAAATTTGGATCAAATTTAATATATTTTCTTGAATTAAATTGTTTAACTTCATTGTTTTAATTAAATTAACAATATATTGATTCTATAGGAGCAGTGGCGAAATGATACCCACAGAAATGATAAAAAATAATTCAAATTGGGTATAATTTGACATTATGAATTTAATAGTTAAATTTAAATTTGCTTTGGAATAATTTAATTGCATGGATTGAAATATTTTATGAAACGCGACACAATCGTGCTATGTAACAATCTCAAAAGATTCGTCAATGTGGACATATCCTCTTAAAATGTTTAAATCATGAGTTTTAGCAAGCTTCCATCAATCTTTCAGTTTCTGCGACACCATTTACTATTTTCATCACTACCATGTATTAAGCCAGAAATACTAAATGTCTACGCGAAAGCATCGTTTACTCATACGATATGGCTTAATTCCCAACGTAGCCGAGAATCGATCACAAATTAGCTGCCAATACAGCTCCCCTTCTCTCCATGCACTTCCTCTTCTCCGTATATCGGCCAATATTTCATCCATCTAATGCATACTCTGCTCTCTCGCGATTCAACTAAGTTCCGAGAAGCTAAGCGCGATGCCGCAATGCATAAGCTACTCCGTGGAACAAAATTAATAACTGTTCGTATTATTAAATAAGAAAAAGTTCTCTCTCTCTCATGTTTCTTAATATACATTCTCCTCTCTTCCGGGTCGCAAAATCTTGTGAACGAGCGATAGTTAGTCACCAAAGTTTTGAATATTCATAGGAAAGGGGGATTGCCGTGGCGCGCGTTCCGTCCCTCGGCAGGGGTTTATATTCATGAAAAGTCTGAAAAGCTTCGGTGGACATTACGCAATTTTAATATGTTGCGCTAGCTTGTACGAGAGAGAGAGAGAGAGAGAGAGAGAGAGAGAGAGAGAGATGAAGGACGATGACTCCGAAAGAACGAGGTGACTCTGCGTATATCCCGGTGGCTTTGCTCCATGTAAATCCGTATTACAAATTACTCGAAAGCACGGTATTAAACATCATTCGTTTTGGAACTTGCGCTCTCTCTCTCTATATATATATGTATATACAATATATATATATATTTTATTTTTGCTTTAAATTTTATACGCAGCATACGCCATTTTCACGCGAAAGGTATATTTTTCGATAGAGAGCGTACATCAGAGATATTCGTATTTTGAATCGAGTGAATCAATGATTTGGCGTGAAAAAAAGCTACGGAAAGAGAGAACAACAGCGCGAAAAATAAATACCGTTATATAACACGTGAAGCTTCTCTGTGTGAAAATATAACGGTAGAATTGACAGATTCAATCTCGGGCTTTATCACGTTTGTAAAGAGTGCGCACGTTAGAAATCATTCTTTCCTACAACGTCATTTCGAAGAATTATTTTCAGACATAAAGCGAGTGTGCATTTGCTTGGGGAGACAAGTCGGTTCTTTTTTTTTCTTCATTATTAAAAGCCGTTCCATTTTCTTTTTCTTTTTTTTATCAATAGAATTCATTCGACAGCTTTTATCGGAATTTCCATTCAGTTAGACGGAAAGATGTTCGTTGCTCTTTCATCGTCACTCCTTTCATTAGCTAAGATAAAGGCGTTAAATACTGAGTTGTAACCGCATAATTGCAGGAAGACTATCACGATGTTGTTTTAACCAATCCTAATCCCTCTTGTCTTTCTTCTGCCGACACAGTACGTCTTCGTGGTGATGGCAGTACTCGTTCTGGAGGCTGGAGTCGGTGCACTGGCGCGTCTGTATGAGGAACAAGTTGGCCCTGAATTGAAGATGAATTTGAATCGTACCTTCCTCGAGAACTACGCCGTACGATCCCGAGAAACCGCGGCCATCGACCAGATGCAGAAAGAAGTAAGTACGAGCTGCCGCATATCGGGAAGAATTTCTTATTTATTTCTCAGGCCGGCCCAATATATATATACACGGCCGTCTGCGCTTGAAGAGTCGTCCGTCGAACAATTGTGAACAAAATAGGACGCGCCGACCAGTATTCCGATATCACGAATACCGATGCACGTACTCCACGGTATCAATTTCCTCCCTCGTTGTCATTTTTATTCCCGTTGCATCTCTTGTGCGCTGTGGACTTCCCCCAAGTAACGTTTTTGCGCAGCTTCAATGATGCTTCATCGTTGCGGTGCCATCAGAAATACGCAATATGATACCAGCGTTGAGTGTTTGCTGAAAACGTTTCGTATGGCTTGTCAATACGTAATATGATCGTCGTTGGCAAATGGAGGATGTTCCAGAATCAGCGAGTACCCTTTTAATCGTGAACAATTATGGTCAATTTGCTATGATTTTTCCTTGGTGAGAATTAGAGTTCCTAAAGAGATAGACACTGAGTGATTAATCCACCATATGTAAAAGGAATGAAGCGTTATACAAATGAAACAGAATAATATGTATGTATTGGGATGGAACAAAAGTTCACAGCGCTGCAAACTTCAAAATTCAAACAGCTATAATTTCATAAAAAATGAACAAAATTAAATTTACTAAAGGGTTTTAAAGCTTAAAATCTCTACTTTACAAAGGTCACTATGTCTACTGAGTTTCTGTGAATTTGGTAATTTTAACATATAGAAAACTACGAACTCGACAAAATGAGAAATTTTCTTCTCACTTTGTGTCTGTCACGTGTCCAAAAAAACTTGCAAAAATTTTCAACTTTCTAATGCGAAAGCTTAAAGTTTTAAAAATGAAAAATTGTATTATTTAAAAGTACAAAAAATATTTGTACAGTCGAGAAATCGAGAAATTTCACTTCTGAAATTATGATGTTCGCGTTCTTTTTTCTTTGTTTATATTAGAACACAAAACGTACTCATTGTTAATAAATTTCTAATTAAAATTTAGTTTCTATAAATAATTTCTAATATAAGTCTCCTTTGATATACGAATACTTTTGACATTCACTGTATGTATATATATATATATATATATATATAATGATAAATCTACTAAATGTTAATGAGAGATTTTAAAAAATCATTTTTCGTAGGAATAATATTAATAAATAACATATATATTCGATACTGTGTTTCCACGCGCTAAAGAGACATTTCGTTATTAATAGCGGCCGATGTCCTAATAACTTTTATAATATTTGAGGAATTTTTGCAAAAATATAATCCCTTTGATTGTTTAATTCAATTTAAATTTATATACATCATATTTTTTACGATGATAACAGCAGCTCTAACACCACATGGCTCTTACGCGTTTCCTTGATTGGAAGAAAGCCACACCCGCGTCATCTCGGAGTTGCTCGACGTTAATTTACGAATGCAGTTCGAAATGGCTCGGTGGCGGTGGCTTTTGTGCCCACGATATCACGCGAGCAGGACACTTTTATTTATGTCCTCCGCCGACGATGGTACTCTCTTACGAGAACCTTACAATAGTAAATCATCGTTATCGCATCGCGGAACAGTTTCCCGCCCATTCGCTATAAATCGATTAGTGCCACAGTGAGCTCGCGGCGAAAAACTTCGCGATTTCGTCTCATATTTTTGCGCGATGTCGTCACTTTGCGCGTTATCGGAATGCACTTATGCGTCCCGCAAAAATCTAAATGAAAATTTACATTTAGTACTCGAAGCTGTTAACCGTAGGATTAAGCTAGTTGCTCGTTATATTTGCAGAATTAATTCGACGGATGAGTGGTACATAGTGGGATTACGCCCCGATCGCGCACATATTACCATTTTAAAGGGACCTTTCCGTCGCGTAGAGCATTAATCGCGTGCGTGTAATCTCCTATCCCCTTTGCACCGAATGCAGCATCTTGATTTGGATCAGACTTGTAAGCGCACACGTGATGCGATTTACGGCGCTGATAATGGCGCGGCAGCTAAGTCGCTCCCACTATACCCATTACCCTGATAAATCGAGCCTCGCAATTTTCACCCTTCTGTCGGATCTCATTGGCCGCGCCCGAGAGGAGATTTTCGTTTCCATTTCTTCACGCGGAATACACGACGACGTTAAACCTCCTCTCGTCCGCCGAAATTGGCGAAACTGTCGGGCAAGCGAGAAATTCAAGATTCGCATTTTATTTATACACAGAGGATCTACCTGTACAAGCATTTCATTCCGTTCGGGAAATCGAGTTTTACCGCGACAGCGCTCGTCGGGAATTTTTAAGGCGACTCCACGAACGGAAATAAATGTCTCGTATACATCGGTACTGTGACGAACGCGCATGAAAATCTTTTTGATATATCTCTCACGTGGAATATTCACTATAAATTTATCTCTACGTTCTTTCTATATTCTCTTTAATTTAAATTTTATCTCAATCGAGGACGAAGTCAAATGATTTTCTTATTGATACGAATCTACCGGTGCTGACATCAAAAATCTGTATCGCAATTACTGATGCTTAGTCTGAGATTTGTTTAATTTATATTAATTAAAAGGCACGAATTCTTTTTAAGGAACTAAAATAACATAACTCGTATAAAAAAGAATGTTTGTGCACTGGAAAAAAAAGTCTGATTGCTTTAATTGGAATTCGGACTGAGAATGGATAAATATCGAATTTTCAGGTTGAATCTATTATAATTTTCACTTCATTTATAGTTGAGATAACCAGAATTCTGATTTATATGATCAGAATTTTTTGGTTCGATTATTTTCAACCAGAAAATTTTCTTAGTGTGTGTATGAATATTAAATGTATTTTAATAACAATAATTTAAATTTGCAAATGTATACATAAAAAATATAATTGAAACGAATATTCTATAAATCTATTATCAGCTCTGGAGGATTAAACAAGAGAACTTGACTCATTTTTTACTTGCATAAAGTTCGTGCATTCTTTACGCGATTTTTACACAATAACTTTTTACACGAAAGTTGCATCTGAGATATATACGTAAACGAATACACGTCTACGCGTTCAAATGCATTTCATTTTTCCGAAGAAAAGGGTTCTTTTCTAGCGAATTCTTCAGAGGTATCCATTCAGAAAATGATAAATAATTAGTCGCGGTTGTAAGAGTTGCAACAAATGTTGCCTCTGTGCAAGTTCATCAAATATTTTTAATTTTTATTTTTTATTTTTCTAATTTACTTAAAAAGAAGAGGGTTATTATTTATATTACGAAAATTATATCTAGATTTTCATTGTGAAACAAAAAATTAAAAAGCTATTAATAGATGAAGAATATCTTATGCACTGTTCAATATTAAAGAATTAAATTTAAACCAATTTCTTAAGTTAAATAACATTTTATTATTTTTATCTTCCAAGTGTGTATTATTTTAATGTGTTATTTTAGTTCAAAATACTTGATTAAAAAAAAAACGTATTTAATCAACCTATTTTCCGCTGTTTACTTTGAAATTGCTAAGTAATTCAACCTGCTGCATATGTGGTTGAATTACTTAGTAATTTCAAAGTGGTCATATTAACATTATATGCACCTAGTAAATAATAAATTTGAGCCAAATTAATATATCAAGTTAAATTATTTAACTCTATTGTTTTAATTAAATTAATGACATATTGAGTAGAGGCAGTGATCACTTAGGAATGATTAAAAATAACTCAAATTGGGTATAATTTGATATTACGTATTTATCACTGTGTAGCTTTTCTGTATCTAGTCTCTAGATTAATCCTAGCACTTCTAAGACGACGGGGCGGCCGAATTATGCGTGTTCAGGAAGGAAGGCGAAATTCGTTGACCGTAACGCCTGCACGTGTAAAGGATCCGTAGAAGTGTTTATCGCGACTAATGGTTCCGGCGCGCGATGAATCCCGCGGGATTACGTGCCCGCATTAAAGTTACCATTTAACTTGCTGCCGCCGCCGGAACACGTTTCTCACCTCCATTAATCTACTCCCCTCCATCCTCCCTTGGCTCTCTCTGACCCTCCTTTCTCAATGACTGTACGATGCTCCGGCGTATAACGCGTCCTGCTATCGTTATTATCGTACGCGGCTATTATCGTTGCTATCGCCGCTATCATCGTTCCCCCTTTCTGCCTTATCCGCGTATACTTTATTGCGCACGTCGTAAACGGAACTGGAGAATAAGAAAGATGGGCCTCGCTCTGTCTTTACAATTAACAACAGACTCTAATGCAGCTAAAAACTTGTCACTTTTTCCTTTGGTACATTATCATTTATAGAAAATTATTTATTATTAAGAAGTATGGTATTCTGCCCCATAGTCGAAAGCATATTTTTATATATTTTTTTATGAATTTTCAATTTATTTTAATTCAAAGTCATAAAATTTTTAATTATCAAGTCTTTTCTTTCCTTTTTCACAAAGTAATTAAAAATTTCTTCGGTAAAGACAGCTAAGAGAAATATATTTACATAACGGATGCATGGCACGCGGGAACTACTCGCCTACTTTCTTCAGCCTTCCCAATATTATCGTGAGAGACATTATTATTGAAATTTGCAGTTCAAATGCTGCGGTGCCTTGAGATTCGAGGACTGGCTCGTGAGCGAGTGGCATAAGGATGAGGAAGTCCTCAAGAACGGCAGCGTCGTACCTGACAGCTGCTGCAAGACGCCGACGTTACTTTGCGGAAAAAGGGATCATCCCTCCAATATTCAGTACACGGTATGTCTGCTGCGACTTTGAACTTTTCCTGCTTTCCTTGACTGATTATCAGATGTGACATTAGCTTGTATTTAAATTCAATTTATTTTCTTAGAAAGAAAGAAAATATAAATCTTTTCCTATAAGTATGACATTATTATAAGATATTAAAGGCCAAAAGATGTATTGAAAATTTGCTGGTTTGTACCTTTGACTTACAGTTCCTGACTATGTTATAATATTAAAACGCACGCGGATTGAAATGACAACTATTTTTACCTTACATTTCTAAAAATGAACTTCCTTTTTTGTTATTAACATAACTGTCAAAGACAGTTATATTTTTAGTTTTACTTGCATCCATCAAAAACTCTTACGGAAAAAGGTTAAAAAGTGGATTGTTTTATCTATGCTTTATTGAATATTCTCAATTAATAAAAACAAGTAAGCAAATTATTAACATTTCTTGTTTGTTGAATTATTGTTTTCATGTATTGTGTATATCTGCAGAATATTGTATGTAATACCCTTTTTATTAATTAATATTACAAATAATTTCCGTACTGTGAAAACGTATTGGTCCTAGAGAGAGTATTGCATTTTAATACAATCCGGGCACGCCAAGTTTTTTGTTCACTATGATCTTGTTGACCATTTTAGTCACTTTCAATCTAGCTTATGTATCTTGCGTTATGAAATACTTGGCTAATTGCATTTACTTCGTATCCGTTTTTTATTAAAAGAAATGTAATATTCAATACCTCCTGTCTTATACACTTATTTTTTCTTTTTTAAAGAAGTTATTATAAGAAGTTATTATAAGTTATATATAAGGGATAATAATATTATATATAATGTTTAAATTAAGGTTTAAGGGGAACGCACATAGAAATAAAGGTAAGTAGTAAGACGTAAGAGCGCCATCTTTCATATGTATAGAAATACTGGCAATGTTAATTGCCTACTTCGTACGTCTTACTGCTTACTACTTACTGCTTACTTCTACTTCTATGTGCGTTCACCTTAACTATGCCATATAAATGAAATGAAATTTTTATAACAAAAACAGAAAACACGTCTTCCTTGCTGTCGCCTGTGCAACTGTAATAAGTTTATACTTTTTCACGACATTGTAAGTGTTAAGTAAATAACGCATTAAAACAAATACATTTATATTTTAATGCAGTTTAGTGCAGCGACACAGAATAGGCTTATATTTTATTCGATTACGACAATAATAATAGTAGCTCATAATATAGTGTAAATAGTTTAACTCAATAAATTATAAAAAATAAAATTCGTGTAATATAGCCAAGGAATGTAATTTTTCAGAATAAATATCGACGCGAATAAATAATCTTCTCCAGCAGAAGTACGAAAATTCTACATAAGATCGATAAATGTCTGTCATTTCAGGGCTGCATTTACAAGTTCCTGGAAACGACGAAGGACCACCTGATAATCCTGGGCGCTGTCGGACTCGGTCTGTCTGTTCTCGAGCTCTTCGGCATCGTTCTTGGCTCTTGCCTTTATATAAAGCTCAGGCACGACTTTGACGACTGAGAATTGCTTCAATGCCCCGAGGGCAACAACAACGGCCAGTCGTGGTGCAGATACATGCAGAACAATCCGGAGACCGTTTGATCGTCGGAGTAGGGGCGGGAGGACGCGCGATTACAGCCGCGGGATCGTACGGATGAAAGGGAATCATCCTCAACCGCGGACTCTCGTTCGCCACTCCCTCCCCCTAACGCGTTCAGAAAGGTATCAACAAGTGAAAATAGAGGTAACGATAAAGAAACGGTGCCGCCTTCGTCGATCGTTGCCTCGCTTCCCGCGAACTTTATGCAAATTACGTGATTACGGACAATCAAAGAAGGAAGCGAAAATTCGAAGGTAAAAACGCATAAATTGTAAAAATCGTTCCGGCGTCTCGGGGTCTGAAGGCAAAAGGTGCTTCTGATCGTTGAACACTTGTGCAACGGAGTTGGGTTTAAGACTCGTCTGCATTACCAACGATATTAAATAGATCCTTTCAAAGACGGTGCTATTACAAAGAAATGAGAGAAAAAACTGAAACGTATCACGAAGATTGCTCCTGAAATCGATCGGCTTTGTTCGTGCCTTCGTAATGATTTATTTCACAATGGTACCGTCTTTATTGTATCGTTTCAGAATTTTCACGAGCTCGCAACAATGCCAACAGGTTTTAAATCCGGCTTTAGTGCCTTTTCAAACGGCGTTCCCACGCAAGAAATTACAAAGATATGAACACAGTTTTAATAAACAAGCGTGCGTGGACGCATTTGCAGGACCAGTATAATTATCTCGAGTATGTATCTAAGGCCTTTCGCGATCGGCGCAGTCGATTGGTTGCGCGACTCACGACTAGCCGAAACTGTAGTTCTCGCTATCAATGGTGTTTGAATATTTTCTGTGGTATTTTCTCCCGAATAAAAACGAGTCTAGATCCTTTTTTATAGTGCATCGTCAGCCCGTTGACGTTAATTAGCCAGATAGCCAAGAGAATGTATTGCAAACTGTATATTACAGTAGAACACCAGCAACACAGCCGAGATAGTTTATTGTTTTCCTAATATCAATAGAAATATATCGGAAAACGAGCAGACCTTACATTCCCATCCAATAAGTTTATTTATCGTTATTCTAGCGTCAAAATGACGACAAGTAACGTTATCTTGTTTGCTGGATTACGACATCATGATGGCAAGATATGCTCCATTTCTACTGCATTTCCGTTATTACATTATGGCAAATCGTAATGGCAGAAACCAAATTAAAGAGCATACAATAGATAGGAATTTACTTTAAAATCATGACTGAATTTGCTGGCAACTACTGACATATTTCATTTTGGCTATCTGGGTACACAAAGTCTAATCGTTCCGTCGAGCGTAATATTTTATAAACTCGACGAAATTTTGCACGCGCGAAGGCGCTGACTCGATACTGCCATTGCAAATTTGCACAATTTTTAATCGCGTTTCAAGTACCGCGATTGTAAGAGCCATGACAAAAAAATTTCTTGCGCATTATGGGAGTAGCCACGTGACCATGTCTGACTTCTCCCATATAACAAAAAGATCTGATCGAGTTATGTCAATTTTCCTACGGTTGGATCGCACGTCATCGAGTTTAATTTATACATCTCTTTTTTTTCTTCTTGGCTCGCGCGAGCTGCGTCGATGAATAAATACGTATAATCGAACGAATCCACTTGCCATAAACACGATGACGGATCGATCTGTATCCGGTGCAGCGAAGACAAGGCAAAAATCGACTTGATAGAACTGTAAACAGTGCCTTCATGATATTGTTAAGCTCAGAGATATTTTAGAGTACACATAAAAAAAAGGAAAGAAAAGAACGTCGTGGCGGTGTAAATTGTTAATTAAAGAGGAACCAGCGGAGAAGAGGGAAAGGAGAGACTTTAGCGTGTAACAAATTTCACACACACAAGCAGCATGTATATATTCGTTGCTTCGCAAATGAGTACAAGCCTTTGCACATTATTTATGGATAAATGCTTTCGTCCGCGTAAAAAACGGGAGTGCGCCGCTCGAATCGACAATTGTAAGCTACAAAAATTTTCCCGCCGATCGACGATAGTCCCCCTCCCCCTCCATTGTGTCCCATGGTATGAATTTTGATACGCAATTTATTTCGCGATCACAACGGCCGATCGTTGACGATCACAATCTTGCAATTGCAGATTTCACCGATGTTCTCGCGCTCAAAAAAGTCCAAACATATTTTACTACTGTACCATTGCATTATATGTTATCTCCGCTGAACACAGACTAACAGAACGTACACTAAATATTGCATCAATGTTATAATTTCCTATTCAGTAATTTAACCTGTTATGTATTAGGTGTTACATCAACACATTGATCAACGGATTACATTTTATAAATGTAATTGATTGATCACGTATACCTGCTAGAGAAGGCATGAATCTAACATATTGACATACTGAATATGTTGATGCAATCTGTAAAATATGAATCATTTTACACTTATATTGTCGAAAGGGAAATTATAATATTGATGTAACTGTTAGTTTCTGTTTAACGGTTTTTAACCTTAATATTATTGTCCTCTCTTTGCTATTATGTATACATGTATTATCGATTAGCGTCTAGGCGAACTTTATACATATTGTACATATCAAACGCTATTCTGTTACAAATAAATGTTTAAATCGTATTTGCTTTCCTTTAGAGCATTGGTTCCTGAAAATATTTATAGCGTATTCTTTGTACCTGGAATATCCAAATATAGAATACAAGTCATTATAACATCAAAATGATGTCAAAATGATTACAAGGATGCCATGATTACTAAAAGTCACTTTTTCAGTCAGTTTCATTTTAAAATCATTTCGACGTTATCGTGACTATTATTTGGATAGGATCGAGTCGACATGCATCGGTGAGTATTTTTACATAAAGAAGAGTGAATAATTATTTTTTCTAAAATATTCCTATCTTCAGCACTTTATGGTATTCAGTCTGCGCGTTCGCGTGGAAGAATTTCATACATATTTGTTTCATTCGACAGTGAAAGTCATTCTTCGAATGTCATCTCGGGGATTCCGCGTTGCTCGCGTATTGCACCATCGATTCGAGGTGCGTTAATAGCATATTGTCCCGCGTTCCAAGAGCGACGAATAGCCAAGCGAAAATTGCGAGAAGGTCCTTCGATATCATTACCTTCTGCCAATCGTTCAGCTCCTCCAAGAAAGTCTCCTGCGTCGTATTCTGAAAAATTATTGCACATAAGCGCAAATAAAAAAATCTTAAACACGTCTCTTCGCTGTTAAGCTATTATGTAGATCATCACTATATTCTTACATTTGACCATGTTTCGTTGATGCTTTGATAATGTATTAGAGCTAACTGATCGTCCATCTTTGATGATGCTTGATGAAGTCCAAACGTTACCAGATAAAGCGGAATGGCGATTGCGGTTTTCGCGTGATCCGTGTAAATCTCACGCAAGTGATCCGTATCAAGCCGCGCCAGATCGAATCTAAAATCATCAATATCTTCTGTGAAATTAAAGATATTTAAAATTTCTTTCACTCACCACTACTAGTTCAGATTATGAAGTCAAAAGCTAAAAAATGTACTATAAAAATTATAATTAAGTCTATTTTCGATTAAAAACGAATCTGATGCTTAATAATATTTATATATGTAAATTTTTGCAAATACACTCTTTTATAAACTTCATGCCGATGATAAACTATCAAATTAATAACATATAGAAATAAATATGATTTAATTTCTCCCCGAAACAAGAAAATAATTTAGTTTGAATATTTTATGTCTATAATTCTGCAAAGATTTATATTCTTTTGAAAAATATTTCTATTCAAATATAACTTACAAGAATTTTTATTGTATATTTTCTCGCTTCTGATGATGTAATTTGAACTAGTAGTGATAAATGAACAGGAGCCTTAAAGACGAATCTTCTTTTTTAAATGTCGAACGTACTTATCGAAGATGGAAATGATGCAAAGAGCGACTAAGAATGAGAATATATTTGCATATATTTCGGAGAAAATCGAGTAATTCGATATGAATTCCATCGAAGTGTTAAAAAAGACATGAATCTGCAACCATGAATCAGATAATATTCATTTTTTAAATTTCTATTTAAATCTACATTTAAATCAAAGAATAAACTTTTGTAGTAGTTGAGAAAAAATGTTTACCATTATGAAATGCAGAAATGCCATACCGCCCAAGAGACCCTGATAGACGAGGCCTGTGCATTTCCAAAATTTCTGCGCTGTGATTGCTACCTTTATCAGCGTATAGGTTCGAGTCTCTGCAGAATCGCAGCCTCCTCTACCTTTTGTTACACGTGTCGTATCATTTCCCAAAGCACGTCTCGATCCGCCAATTTTCACGGCGCTAAAGCCGCTTCTGCCTTGAATATAAATTGTGTCTGTAGTCAATTCCGGAAGCGGCACAGGTTCTTCGTATTTTGTGCGCGCATTTTCTTGAGCCTTTTTCAAGATCTCGGTGATGGGCACTTCGTCGTCTTCTTGCGAAAATTATTAAATTTATGTTATAGATTTCATTTTTGTTCCTCGTAAATGTTGAAGTTTCTTTAACACGGATTTTTTAAAATAACATTTAGTTTTCAATTGAACTTTCCCAATTGCTTTAAAATTGAAATTCTCGACTAATCAATCGAAAGATTTTAAATAGATTGTAATATGGAAAAGGATCTTGGAGGAAATAGATTCTTATCAATTTTTTAAGCTTGATTCTTATAATAAGGATGTCGCTTAAAGGATATTCTTTTTTTACCTCGGGAAACATGCCTCTTTCTTCTTCGCGATATATCAGTAACGCTACCTTCCCTGTCACTGTAGCGTTTCACGGAAGACCCGATATCTGCTCGATCATGATCATGAAAGGCCTCTGCCGTGCGAGGCCGTGCTTCAAGCTTTCGTCTTTCAGTCCGTTTATTACGTTTCCTCTTTCTCCCAAGAGATCCCGACGCGAATCTTTCTTCATTCGCGTGAATGTCTGAATAACGCATTTTTCCTGCACGAGTCGAGTATAATTCGGCTTTGCGTGACTTATTATTGCTTTTAGCATCCGGTGACTCGGTCTCCGTGTCTTCAGTGTCATTTTGTCTCCGAGGAAAACTCTAAGATGTTGAATGGTAAGCTCAATTATAACTTTCGGTTACTGTACAGGGGTACGGCATACCCAGAACGTTTGAAAATTGCGCAGGATTTATAGAAACCGGAAAATGAAGAGACTAAATGTAGGAAGAGAAAAAAGTAAGCGTTCTCAACATAGATGTATATTTTTCTCTACCTAGTGTCATCAGATTGCGTGAAAAAGCGATAGCAATCTTTTTTATGAAAACCCTTTTTTTATTAAAAAAAATCGTGTATAATTTCACTTGTTGAAATAAATATACTTGTACGCGAATATTTTGACATACGTTTTTAATTAAAATATACACTTTCAATAGCTTATTTTTTTAGTTTCTTTATTTTTTTTTAGTTTTTTTAGTTTTTAGCTCTATATTAATATAATTTACGATTAATAATTATGATTAATATAATTTTTTGAAAAAAAGTATTTTTTGTGATTTTTTCGTGAAATTCGAAAAATTCACTTTTATTCGTTATTAAATATTTTTTACAATTTACAATTTCGGCAACTATACTTATACGAGGCTTTTCTTTAGATCCTCCAAAATAAAGATTTCATATATTTACTTTAATCAGTGCATTTTACCGAAAATTAGAGACACTAACGGAGTACGCTATATCCCCGTGATATATTCGTGCAGTAACCAAGGATTAAATTTATAAATAATTACCTGGTGCTTCTCAACTGGTAAATAATAAATGATTGACGCAAATAAAATGCCAAGAATTTATTAAATTAATTGTTAATTAGATCAATACAATGTTGCGCTGCTAATGAATAAAATAACATATACACTGCCAGAATAAATTAATTATTCATTCATTTTTGAATATTAATTGAATACTAATTATATACAAATATATACGACTGCAATATAGTTGCAATCTGTAATTCATGATTATCAAATTACAAATAATTCACAGTTAATTACAGACGCTTTAAACAACTTTTAAATTACTTTTAGTTTTTTGCTCTATAAATAATACTGACTGTTTTGATTTTTCGTTCGTAAGATCGGTTCGACTCTTGTCTCGACTCTTCCGAGCTGGTCCATCGTTTCTGTGACAGCGTGCTACCGTGTTTCACGTAATTGTCGTTCTCCACAGTGCGAACAGAAGCTTCATCCTCGCTATCATTCTGTTGGAGTTGTTTACCGATCGCCGTAGATCTTCGAGAGGTTCGACTTCCGCGTGTCATTTTAAGACGTATCGAAGCATCAATCGTTCAGTTGTCCTACGGTCGATTTGCGACCATCTCGCAATTAATTTCAAACGCGTACACAAGTCCATATGAATTTTTCTTTTAAACTTTAGAATCTACACAATACGAAACTATTGACTATTGTAAGAATTTCCTTTGAGTGTGTTTAACAATTTAACTTCGTAGCTAACCACCACAGGTCGACTCTTGTTCAGTATACCTCAGACTTATATATAAGTCTGTGTTTAGGATTACAAGGTATCCATAGTAACGCTTTGTGTTGTGATATTAAACTCTGTAACGACCCATCATGGTAGCGACCAGTTTAGTATACATCTGCATATCTTCTTTTGTTTTAAATCATTCAAAGCAAGTCACGTAAAATATTCAGAATAAGAATTAATATTTTGATATGTACTATTTAATCTAATTATTATACACGTATTATTGCTACTATTACCTATATTATTATATGGAACATATTAATACATTAATAATAGAAAATTTAGTACTTTATTTTTTAAGAAAATAAAGATTATTTAGCAAGAAAGATATTCTTTAATAACGAAAGATACGACGATCTCAGCACGTTTAAGATATAGACGCTCCTGAGAGCCAGAGCGTCACGTGAGCAATCGGCGGCTCGGTCGCGGTAGTGAGGGTCGCTCGTTGGAATCTGTCCGAAATGTGCATCTAATACCGAGCACTGATTTAAACGAAACAAAAACGCAAAAATGCCTTTTTTCACAAAAATAGCTCATAAATAAAAAGATTCTCATTTATCGAGAACATATAAGTAAAATATATCAACAGAATACATGCTCTTTGTGCATGCTAAAAAAATTTTTAGAGTAAATCTTACTCTGAAGAGTGAAATTTCAATCTCAAAGATTGATAATTAAGCCATTTTTTTTCAAGACTGGCTCGATTTTTATTGTTTACAGTTAGATTCCAAAGAATTTAAAGAATGTACATAAATTGCAACATTTTAGAAATACATAAAACATTTTTAACAATATATGTTTAAGTCGCTGATTTATTATATTGAGAGAATGATAATTTCTACAAGATCTATACAACATACATAAAATCTTTACAAAAATTGATTTTTCTCTTTGTGATAGTAAATACTAAATAAAACACAGATTGTATCCTATGACAGGAGCATCTGTCCAAGTAATTCTATTAAAATAATTTCTTACGTTAAAATAATAATTTACATCCAGTTTTATTTAGATTTAAGTTAAGAAACTATATCAATAAACCTTCATAGAATTTCTAAATCACAATGCCGTATTTCTGGATGATTTTTCTGAAAATCATGAAAAGATAAAATCATATTACAAATTTTATATTATTATAATTTATCCACTTAATGTATTATTATATATTATTATATAAAAAATATTTATTTACCTTTAGTTTTAATTCTATTCTGTCAATTTCTCCACCAAGCATGTCTACGATATTTTCGCCATGTTTTAATAAAAATATCTCTAGTTCATCGATATTTTGCATACTTTTCACTTCCTATAAAAATATTTTATGTTTATTGATGTAATATCTCATCTTTCAATAAAAATAAGAATATAAAATCTATACCTCCAACATTGTAATAAGATCATGTTTATCTAGATAAGATCTTGTGAGTTCTCGTCCATCAAAATCCAGTTCGGCTTTATATCTCACTAAATTATTACCCATGTCAATGCCTTTCACATCATGAATTGCACGAACCTAAAATGTATACAAACATAAGAATCAACATATTTAAAATATCGATTGAATATATTACATAGTTGATTTTAAGATTAGTATTACCATTATATCTGCTTCTAATTCAGCGTTAATTTTATCGAGATTCTCTTGCGATATACTCCTTCCTACAAGTGCAGCAACGTTCGAGTAGATTATAAAAGACGCCACTCCACCGAGCAGACCACCAACTAGAAGCGAACCGATAGCGTCAAACATTGGATTTTGTAAATATGAAGTCAAACCCATACATCCAGCTGCAACAACGACTCCAAGTACCTGACAATTACGCAGAAATCTTTTTGAATGCATAATTAATATATTTAACAAAAAGTAAAAATAACGACTTACGGCTGCAAAGTCTTCCATGAGCACGACGTTCACGGACGGATCTTGTCCTTCCAGAACAAACTGTTTAAGACTTTCCTTTTTTTCCTCTGCGCCTTTCTTTATAGAGTGTAATGCTATCATTAAAGTTGCTCCTTCAGATAGCAAGGATCCACCCAAGACAAAATATGCCCAGAAGAGAGTATCTAATGGCGCAGGAAAAAGAAGACCGTGAATTCCGTGATAGATGGAAAGACCCGTACCGACACAAAAGATTCCCACGCCCGATATCAATGAGGAAACGTATTTCATGTTCGTATAACCGTATGGGTGATCAGGATTAGGATGCTGTAAAATAATTTGTATAAAATAAATTAAGCTTGGAAGAAATTCTAAAATTATTCGCGTTAATTATTTATTTACCTGCACCGATTTATGAATGCCATATGCTAGAATCAATTGATTACAAGTATCCGCTGCAGAATGTACACACTCAGAAAACATACTGTGGGAGCCAGTATATAACCAAGCAATTAACTTACACAAAAAATTACTAGCATTTCTGGAAAAGAAATTAATCGAGGAAATTTATACAATTACATGCATGATACGCATAAATATAGTACGTACATAGCAATTGCAGTCAACACTACTTTGCCAGATCTTCCAAAAAGACCTTCCTTCTGAATTATTTCCGTCTTGCTGCCAATTTCTCGTCTGTAATCCCTCAATCTCCGTTTGACCGTAAAAACATCTATGACGAAAAGCTTGTGTTTCAATATTTGTACCAATTAATTTTATTTTATTATTACAGGATATTCCTATCAGATTAACAGAATATGTGAATGATCCTGTAAGATGGACAATTTCTGAGCATAGATATTCTCTATCTTGATGAGATGTTCTCTTTTATAGTAACAAGTACTTTGAATTAAGTAAACAGATAAAAGTACATATATGAAGATATGCATATTTACTTTGCTGATAGATCTTCTGTTCAATTTCTTTCTTCAAAAGTTCTTTTAACAAAGCTTCTCTGGATCCCCAGACTTCTAAAGCTCTACAAAAAAAGCAAAACTTTTAAAACATTCAATTAAATAATTTTCACAGTATAAGTATATAAAAATTTATCAAATCGATTCTCTTACTTAGCCTCGACATCTTTCCTCCAATAGACTGTGATAGGCGGTTCAAGTTCATACGGGGAACGTCTTTTTGTTTTTGGCAAGGTCTCCAAATCAGAAGGCTTTAATAGAAAATCTGCCATAGCCCTCACAGGTGTAATAAAATTACGTTCCAAAGAAGACGTCGACTTGTCAACTCTGATTTTCTTTTTTGCTATAAATCAGAAAATTAATAAGTTTAACAAGGTCAATAATTGAGCCAAAGAGGTGGATGATAAAATTAAAATAATTAAAATATAATAGTAATAAGGCTCAATAAAATAAAAAAATAAAAAGGAATAGGGCTACCAGCCAAAAGTTTATTGTTATAATTTAAAACTTAATAAATAAACATATCATTAAAATATAAAAATTTTAATGTGCCGGCTATAAACAATAAATAAAGACAAACAAACGTTTCGATCCCTATTGGATCATTATCAATGTTAAAATAGAAAATGTTACAATAATATATAAAATTAAAAATTATACAGAGCGAAGTAATTATATAATTTTTAATTTTATATATTATTGTAACATTTTCTATTTTAACATTGATAATGATCCAATAGGGATCGAAACGTTTGTTTGTCTTTATTTATTGTTTATAGCCGGCACATTAAAATTTTTATATTTTAATGATATGTTTATTTACTAAGTTTTAAATTATAACGATAAACCTTTAGCTCATAGTCCTATTCCTTTTTATTTTTTAAAATAATTATTCATGTCGGATGGGTCATCGGTCGTCGTTGTTCGGCGGGAGTCAATAACCAAGATTATGGAAATTTTGCGTGAGTATTAGTCTATTGTAAGGTCGAAAGGCTGTTAAAGTCAGTTTTGTGTGGGAAAGGTAAATTAGAACTTACATGAAGGTAAATACATCATAATGTGTCAGACGTAATCGGTGCTCGAATTCGAATGTGATAACGTTCTGGACAGACAATAAGACCTTCAAGTATGTCTATTTGTTATTGTTTTTCCAAACCGACTCTAATAGACCAAAATATGATTCGTCTAGATTTTCTGTCTTTTTGTAAATTAATTCCTTCTATTTGCTCTACTTTCATGTAAGTTCTAATTTATCTTTTTTGCACAAAATTGACTTTAATAGTTTTTCGATTTTGTGGTGGATTAATGCTCACACAGGGTTCTTGTAATCTTGGTTGTTGATTCTTACTGAACAGCGATGATTGATGTCTGACATGGCGTGATACTGGAATGTTTTTTTGACAGTCATTGCATGTATAACTGAAGAAGGACTGATGGTTCCGAAACGTCTTATATTTTAATTTTCGTATGTTTGATTGAATAATTATTTTAATTTTGTCATCCATCTTCGACTCGATTATTGACTAGGTTAAATTTCTTACTATTTTTACATTAATATGAGCGTTTTTATACATTTATTTACGCCAGAAAATTAATATTTCGAACTTAACTCTGTCTATATCGTTATACCTTTTTTCAAGATGACATCATCTTTCGATGGTTCTTTGGATTCTGCAGACTGTTTTTCAACAAGTTTTGCTGCCTGTCCTTCCTTCTTCTCATCAGATGTAACTGGTTCTATGTCTAATACTCTCTCTTTTAATTTACCTAACTTCTCTTCATTTAACTCTATTATTCTCTGTTGCACTTCCTCAGCTAGTTTTGTTTCAGATTTATCTTTAGACTTTGCATCATCAGATAGAAATCTTGTTACACAAGTCCATCTGCAATCCCTGCTTACCTTTCTGTTAGCAAAGACTTTTTGAGAATTCCAAAAAGTATGTATTTTGTATTGTGTACCATATTTGGGCACTATTAAAATACTGGCATGTCTTCTAACTAATCCAATTTGGAATATGCATAATTGATCAGCATGGTACTGGCATGTTACGTTTCGAATAAAGTTTATAAAATTATGAGGCCGATGAAACATCCTTATTATTATATCCTTTTTTTCTCAGATATACATCACTTAACCTATAAAAGAATAAATTGATTTTAAATATTTCCATTATAAAGAAATTTTTAATAATTATAGAATAATGAAACAGTATAATGATGTTATTTTCAGAAATTGTTCAAATGATAATATAATAAAGCGTTATATACATACACGATAATGTGCGTGTTTATTATATTATTAGGAAAATGTTCACGATGAAACCTTCACCCTTCCTTTTTCAAGATTACTACCTACATTAAACACACATTGCTAAACAGCTACAAGATATTACATTATCATTGTGAACAGTTACAATCAAATTGTTCTAAATCTAATGACAAAATAACGAACTGTCACCAACATTACACTCGTTCCACCTTTCATGGACGCATGGACCAGTGCTGTACAAAAAACTTAAGGTAGTAAGACGTAAGCAGTAAGGAAATCAACATGTTGGATTCGCTACTGCTTATGTTACGGCCTTGTGGACTCTACTGTGATTGGTCAATTCGCTTACTGCTTACATTTTACTGCTTAAGTTTTTTTGTGTGCCATGGCCCTTA